AGCAAGGAGCTCAAGGACGATGAGCTGATATTGGGCGTACCAGACATGATTGCACTAGGTATCTTCGATGCATGTAAGTGCCAGTTCCATGTGGAGAGCTGTTGCAAGGTCAATGCGGTATCACTGGTGGACGAGGAGAAGTCAGACCAAGACTTGTTGGCGGTTGCCAAGCAACTGATAACAGATATGACGTCTCATCTGGAAGGTGTTGTCAGAGAGAGGCTTTGGGGTTTGTTACAAAAACATTCGAAGTGTTGGTTGCGGCCAAGGACAGGCAGAACACGGCATAGTGTGGAGTTCGAGGTAGACGGGAATCCGGTGAAGCATACGTTGAAGCCGTTAAGACCAGAGTTACGAGAGGAACTAGATAAGCAGACATGTTGAGCATGGGTGTGATACAACCTAGCATTATCAAATGGGGAGTTTGGCTGGGGCGGCACATCTGCTAAACATCAACGCAGATGCTGGAGGTAACTCAGAGAGAACAGAAATCTCTTGTAGACCGAAAGTTCGCATTATTCGGATTTGTAAGAATTGCGAAAGCATGGCCTATCGATCCTTTAAGCCCAGAAAGATTAGTACTGCTCCGCTCTTCTGGTAGTCGCCTGGTGGGAGTGACATCAACGAGTACCCTTCCCAAACGCCGCCGGCACTTACTCCTTTACCAACACTGGGCCTGAGAGCGGCCACGATACGCTCCCCTACAGACCTTCTGCCGCTCAGGTACCCGCGCTCTCACCAACCGTGGGCCAGTCGTCGTACATCTGGCTCCGTGCACGCAGACCGCCGAACTACTGTCACCTTCACTTCGCGTAGCCTCGAGCGTCGTCGTTGCTGCCGTCTGATCAGCTTAGCCGTGCTGCCTTCGCGTAACCTTCGCCTTCAGCCAGCACGAACGTGATAGCAACCCTCCATCTTCTCACCACCCACGAGAACGACGGCGGCCTAATTTCAGCCGCGGAGGACCTGCGCGGTTCTGCTGACGACAGTTGCGAGACGTAACGGCGCGGACAGCCAGTTCCATTTGTCAGTTTTTTTTCCCGGTTCAGTTTTCAGATGAAGGCGCTTACTGCCATCCGCTTGGTCAATACTACAGGGTGTGTGGCCCTGGCGGCGTTCGTCGATCCCAATGGGAAGTTGTCTTCTACCGACGGCTGTATTGTGAGGATGGCCGTCGTCTCTGACGGGAAGGGTGCAGCTGAAGTTGTGGTGTTGGCCCCTCCGTCAGAATTGCTGGGGTCCCGCCTTACTGACTACGACTGGCTTAGTCGTTGGAACCGGCTCCGCGTCTACCACCCGCCCGGGGAATCCAAACAGCAAGCGAAGGCCTCTGCTCGCATCGAGCGCTTGCTTGCCCGGGCCATGAAGAACCATCTGCACGACGCGGATCCATCCACCGCCAATGCGGCCTTGAAGAAAGCATTCGGCAAGAAACTTATGGAATGGCTGGAGACTGAGAATGCCGGAGACACCGAGGTTGACTGGAGCAAGAAGCTGGAGATCACTGATGTGAGGCCGCTAGATGCAGATGAACAAGAACAAGTCCGGGATCAAGTTCCGGCGAAGTGGCTTCCGAAAATTGAGGATTCGATGTCTTTCATGAATTGTATTGAGATCGAGGGCCAGGCCGTTCGCGAAAGAACCGAAGGCTTCTGGCGACGCCCGGGGTTGTCCAAACGTCTTGGTATTGCTGGTGTTGCGACTGTAAGTGGCCTGGTGATTACTGGGTTCCTACTTTATCATTTTGGTCCTGGTAGTCTGTTAGCATCGAGAGTAAAAACCAACAGTTCCTCTCAATCGGGCACCACCGCCTACAGCTCATCTCCAACCGACGCGAGGACCGGCACTGCGACCCCAGGCAACACGGCCACCAGCTCTTCGTTACTCACGACGCGGTCCCCATCCATGACGCAACTACCGTCCTCGGCGATCCACCCGTACGAGGCAGAGGCCTTGAAGTACCAGCGGGCACTGGC